ACATATATATATATATATTCTCATAGCCAAACTTTCAAATTTGCTTCTCAAATAGAAAGCTAGGAACAAATCCACTTTAAAAAAAAGGAGGACAAAATCTTTTGAAATTATCTATTAAAATAAGTTACCTATTATTTAATATGTAACGTCATTACATATTAACTTTTTGTTTAAAATATATTTAGGTAACATATGAATTTTGCACATATTATGACGTTATATGTTAAACAATAAATAATTTATTTTAATAAATAATTTAAAAAATTAATTTATCTTTATTTTTGTAATAACAAATTTATTTCTACCATCTTATTTGAAGGGTTGATTTGGGTCTGCCAATATTCAGTAGAATAGCCTGGTAAAGCGATAAGAATTCTAATAAAGGATGGAAATTGGGCTCGATTGTTTTACTCAAAAGCCCAAAAGATAACAAAAATCTAAAAGCTGTTTCTCCTTTTCCCTTTTACAGTGTGGAAAAAAAGGCCCAGTTTCTAAAAAGCGGCACCTGTTGCAGTGCACGTGTCTTGAATCTTGTTCACCCGGGACAATATCGTTTTCACGACAATGATTGTTCCTTAGGCTTCGGCCTCGCTACTTACAGAACACCCGCCTCACGTTAACATCACATCCCCTTCATTCACAGATTAGGTAAAAATTATTTTAGATTTAATTTAAAAAGTCGTTTATTAATTATTAATATTTTTTTATTACAATTCAAATTTTTTTTATTCTTTTTCAAAGTTAATCTATTAATTTTTAAAATTATATTAATTTCGTCTATTTAATACCATACTCTTAATAAGATGGACAAAATTTAGGTCATTGCTTATATAAATTATCACATAAAGTAACATGAAACCTAAATTAATTAAAAAAGTAACTTAAATAATATAAATTAGGGTTTGTCTAATATATATTATAAGAACACATTTTAAGTTTCATTGATTATAATATTTATAATTAATTTTAAGAAATAGTACTTATTCATCTTACTTTTTAAAGTTTATAAAAAATATAATTTCAAAATTATGTTATTTTAATGAACACATATTGAAAAATATTAAAATATTTTAATTTTTATAATAATAAGATAATTTTAATTTTTTTATAATATTTTATTAAAATATTAAAACTTTTTATTTTTAAATATTTTTATACTTAATTTTTTACAAGTACAATAAATAAATATTTATCTCTCTATTAACTAACCTGATTTAACGTACTGAAAAATAATATATTAGCATTAGAAGTTTATAATCATATCAAGTCTTCTATCATTCGCCTTTTTGTAGAGTTTATATTATATTACATGTATCATTTAATGACAAAAAAAAAAATCATATATTTACAATTATATGGATTCTAAGTATATATAGTTGATGTAATCTAATCCCTTAATTATGGTAATTTTTCCGACCCTTAATCAGGGAGAAATGTAGAATTCCAGCCAATACAAGTGTGAGAAACAGGAAGAAGATAATAAAAGCTTGTCCCGTATGAGAGGTTTTCTCCTTTATTTTTATTTTTATTTTTGTATTATGTATAATATTTGTACAATGTACATTTTTATATTATATTCGTAATTTATTCTCTATTAAAAAAAAATACACTTCATGAGAATTTTACTCTCCGGTATGAGATAAGATTATCCAGTTTATTCATATCCGTACATGCCCAACTATTGGTTCGGACTTTGGAGTGATCTCTAATTCTCTACCGACCGATATAGGTTTCGTAACGCTACTTGTAGCCGTAGTTATAAGTATTTTAATTTTGGAATATTTTAAAAATATGTAAAATATATTTTTATATATTTAATCTTTACTTTAATTAATATGTTATATATTTTAAAATAATAAAAAAAAACATAAAAATTTAAAAAATAAAAATAAAACACTGAAGAATGTTGTCCAACAAAGGGATAGCATTTAAATCTACCTCAAGAATGGAGCAAGGATAGATTCGTTCTTAAACTAAATAGTAAATGTAAGGATGAGTTGTCTCACCAACTGATTAAGTTAAACAAATGACTTGAAAGTTAATTATTATCACCATATGACATCCTTTAATAGTTACTTTCCTGCATATGTTGCATTTTCTTCTATGTTAGCCAATAATAAAAAGCTAATGTCAATTTTCAGTTTTGTTTAAAAAAAAAAAAAAGCTAATGTCATAAGTCATCAGTTATATTTAAAGTAATTTATCCAATTCAATTAGTTAGGTAATTTATCTCTATAATTAGTTTAAAGGTGCATATACTTGAGGACAGATTTGAAATTTCGGGTGCATTTTAACCACTAGGCGGAACCGTGGAGAATCTTTTGAATGGTACGATATGCTAAAGTCAAGTGGGTGTTGATTGAAGAAGGTTCCTGTTTTGTACAAGATATTGATTAGTTTGTGGGTCATTAATGTGTTGCTGCCTTGAGCTGAGGCAAAAGAAGCTGCTTTTGCCTTCAATTAGGTCCGCTTTCTAGTTTTAGCTTATGGTGTTGGTTGGAGATGAAGAAGAATTTTTTGAGCATTTTACCATTCTGTGAATCAAGGGTCATTCATTCAAGAGAGCAAAAACTTCCATGAAAAGCCTAGACAGATTTTAGACATATGTCTTGGAAGCATGCAGTTGTTTGAATGTTCAAATACTTGACTTTTCTTGAGTTATTAAAACCTTCAGAAATAAACACAACTTTACTTTCATTTATAAATAAAGACAACTTCTCCGTCTCTTATAATTTTGTTGTTAGTAACCAAATAAATGAATTTTCTCTCATCTCCTCCCCTCCCCTCTTCTCCATTTCCGATGATTCAAACAAACAGTAAATTGGTGGGTCAATCCAATTGAAGATATTGAGAAGGATCAAACAAATATATATGCAGTGAAAAATATATATGCAGTGAAAAACATATATAAGTTTTAACTATTAAAATAAATTGAAGTTTTAGTTTTAAATTATTTTATTTTATTTAATTAAAGTTTAATTTAAAATTT